GGGGGGGGAGGACAGGCTGGCCTACCCTGGCAGAGGAAGGGGGAGCGGAAAGGCAGGTGCGGCCGGCAGGGGCTCAGGGCAGTTGGCGAGGCCTGGCGGGAGGAAGGGGCCCTCTCCTGGCCCTTCCTCCCGGACTGACCGGAGCGAGAGTCTTGGGGGGCCGGCCGGCCCTTCTTCTTCTAAGCAGGGACCGAGCCAGGCATGGCTGACCCCCCCCACTCACCTCGGGTGCTTGCACAGGAAGGCCACCAGGGTGACAATGAGGCTGAAGGCCAGAAGAGGCGCCACCGCCCACACCGCTCCTCCTCCTCCTCCTCCTGCGCTGCCTGAGGAAGGAAGGAAAGAAGGAAGATAGAGAGAAGGAAGGAAGGAAGAAGAGAGAGTGTTGTGGGGGGGGGGACGCAGGGAGGAGGTGTGGGGCAGAAGGAGAGAGAAGAGGAGGAGATTGGATTTCTACCCCGCCTTTCACTACCCGAAGGAGTCTCAGAGCGGCTGACAAACTCCTTTCCCTTCCCCTCCCCACAACAGACACCCTGGGAGGTAGGTGGGGCTGAGAGAGCTCTTCTTGAGAAGACTGCACTTGAGATAACAGCTCTGAGAGAACTTGTGACTGACCCAAGGTCACACCAGCAGCTGCCTATAGAGATGTGGGGAATCAAACCCGGTTCTCCCAGATTAGAGTCCGCACACTTAACCACGACACCAACCTGACTACGCCAAACTGGCAGGGATCCTGGTTGGCGGCGGCTGCAGGGGCGTCTTTCTTTGGGCAGCCCGGGCAGCACAGCCACCAGAGCAGCCCCGGACGGCACTTACCCCTGGGGGGAGTCCTGAGGCGGCCGGCGGGGCCCCAGTCGCTCCACGTGCCCTTGTACAGGGAGTGGTCCCTCGGCCCGGCTCGCACCTGCAGCTCGTACTCCGCGCCCCCCTTCAGCTCCTGCGGCAGCAGCCACAATGTCGGGGTGTCCTGCAAGACGGGCTTCGGGGCCTGGCCGGGTGAGAAGGGGGAGGCAGGAGGGCTCAGCTCGGGCGGGGCTCCCCTCAGGACCACCCCTGGCTCTGGGGGTCGGGGGGGGGGGAAGTGGGCAGGCAGCCTGCCGGGATTTTACGGGTCCCTCTCAGCTGCGGAGTCTTGTGAGCAAACATTCTATGTTGTGAGCTCCTGGCATGAAAGCTGTGAGGGAGCCATTTGGCTGCTGCATCCATCAGTTTGCTCTGGAGCCCCCTCCTTCCTGAGCTAAGGCAAAAATGAGTGAGCCAGAGGCTGAAAAACTGTGAGCAGGCTCACAACAACTTAGCTTAGAGGGAACACCGGTCTGGACCACCAGGAGCTGCAAAGAGACCTGTCTGCCTTGGGACTGGAAGTGCCAGTAAAGCTCAGAAGGACTTCAAGCCCGCCACGGCCGGTGGACGGCTCAAGGCCCCCCCCCCCACACCCATCTGCTGGGGCGTTGCTGAGACTGGCTCTGGGGCCCAGGCGGGTTGTGGGGGGGGGCCACACATGAGGGTTGCCTCTTTCAGAGCCCACGTGGTGGCAGCACCAGCTTAGTTTCTCGCTAGAGGCTGCTGTGGAGCACAGCCGGGCTAGAGGGGCACCTCTGTAACATCTGCCAGTCTTGGGAGTGGGGCGGGCGGCGGGCTGTCCCTTCCCCCTCGGCCACAAATGAGGAGTCTCTGTGGCTCTTTGGCAGAGAGGAGAGAGAGGTGTGCGCTTCCCTTCCCGTCACAGGGGCCAAATGCCCTGATGGGAGCCGTAGGAGCACAGGTGCGCCACGTGTGGCCGTGGCCCCGCCCAGACCCTTTGCTCCCAGCATGTGTCCCCCCCACCCACCTGCACCCCTCAGACTCACCCCGGCCGTGCCTCCCTCCGCATTCCAGGGGTGGCCCTTCTGTCGGTAGCGCAGCTGGTACTGCATCTCCCCGTGCAGGTAGTCGTAGGCTGCGTAGCCGCTCTCCCAGGAGACGTTGTAGCCGTCTGGGTGGGCCACGGCAGTCACTTTGGAAGGGGGCGGAGGCTTAACTGGGGAGGAGGGGGGCAGAGCTATAATCAAGGCCGGGCCCCTGAGGAGCCCCCGCCCGGAACCCCCCCCCCCCGCGCGCACACCCTTCCTCCAAAGGGGAGCGAGGCGGGCACGGCCCCTTCCCTTGGCGACTTCAGCTGCAGAGCGAACAAGAGGCTGAATGGGGGGGTTGAGACACACCTGTGGCAGCGTCCTCTTCACCACCGGCAAAATGGGGCCATGGAGGCCAAGCGCAGCCATGCCAGGGGATCCCTCCAGCTGGGGTCTCCCACCGGACCGCTGTCAGAAGAGCTCGGGGAGGGGTGCACCCCTGCCCAGCTTCTGAGGGGGTGCTCCTGGGTCTTCCTCTCTGCCTCCCTCACTTTCCAGCACAGAGGGTGCCCCCCGCCCCCCCCCCCCCGAGGAGCCTTCCCAGTGCCCTGCCCCCCCCCGCCGACCATGCACACTTACCGTTCTCGTGGCACCGGAAGGGCCCACAGTCCTGGTGAGCGGGAGGGGCTCCACCCACGAGCATCGTGACCCTCACGGCAAAGGTGTCACGAGAGAAGCACGGCCTCTGCTCCGAGGAGCAGGCGTAGCGCAGGTGGCTGGCATTTCTGAAGGTGGGGAGGAAGGCGCAGGTGCACCCGTGGCCACAGCCCCTGGGGAAACAAAGGCAAGACAGGCGTCTCTCGGCATGGCAGGCAGCCATCGCTGTGCAAGTGCCCCGCAGTCGGTCCCAGAGCACTGATGGGCAGAAGGTGCCCCTCTTCCCCGGAGCAGGTCCCACGGAGGACTTCCAGGGTGTGCACGCCCCCGGGGCCGGGGCCGGTGGCGAAGGCACCGAGTGGCCCAGTTGTCAGGCAGATCAGAAGCCCCTGACTTGACTGCAAGGTTCCCTCTCCTTTCCCCTCCCCCCTCCCCAGAGCGGGGCAGTTCACATCCCGAGCAGAAGATAACTGCTCTGGTCTCAAAACGGGCCACGGGCAGTGGGAGGCCCTGCGCGGCTCCAGGTTGCTTCGGCTGGGGGAGGGGAGGGGAGGGGGTGTCTCCTTGGAGGACAGAGGGGAAGTCCTCTTGGCAAGAGAGGCCACGATTCGGGGCCCAGGGGATGCTGGATGCCGGCTCCCGTCCCGACCAGCGTTCCCTCTAAGCTGAGTTGGTGTCAGCTAGCTCACAGTTTTTTAGCGTCTGGCTCACACATCTTTGTCTTTGCTCAGGAAGGAAGGAAGGAGGGGGCTCCAGAGCAGACTAATTTATGCAGAGCAGACTAATTTAGGCCAGTAGCTCACAAAGCAGGATTTTTGCTCACAAGACTCCACGGCTTAGAGGGAGCATGGCTCCGGACCCTACAAGGAAAGGAACAAGGAAAGGCACCAGAGACGACACCCCCCCCCCCCCCCCGGGCACCTACCACGTGGCAGTGAGGTTGTGCAGCCTCCCTCTGGGGTGGCCGGGGCCCGTGTCCCACATGCAGGTCAGTGTCCGGATGTAGTCCGCAAAACACCTGAGATCCTTGCAAGCCGAGTCTGAATGTGGATGTTCACATCATACAGAGAAAGAGAGAGAGAGAGAACAAGCCTCGTCCTGTCAGGTTGCACCTCGAGGCGGCCGGAGTTTGCCTTCCAGAGCGGCGTCAGCCCCGGGGGAAACCTGGCTCAGGAGCAGGCTTGCCAGAGGAAGACCGGGAACCATCGGGCGGAGCAGGACGTCCAGCAGAGGGGTCTCCTCGGCAGAAAATGCCGGGGGGGGGGAGAAAGTTTAGCAGAAGCCTCCCAAGAGCCTTCCTGCCGTTCTGAGAAGCAGCGGGGCTAACAAGGAGCGCATCACGACAACAGAAGGCCTGAAAGAGCATTGCTGTGCCTGATGGCACTTGGGGGGGGGGGCACAGCCCCATGACCGGACAGTCCCAGAGACAGAGCGAGAAGGAATTCGACAGGCCTCGTATCCAACTATACAGAAGAATAGGACCTTGTAATTAATCAGAAGTAAATCAGAAGTAAACACACAAAAGTGTGGCCTGATGAGGACTGAGCCTGCTCCAGGAGAACACGGAAAGCAGCAGTGAGTCAATTTTTTAAAAGAAGAAGAAGAGGAAGATGAGAAAACAGGCTTGCTGAAGTCCAGTGTGTGTGTGTCTCTTGCAGTTCTGGAGGAAGAGAGAAGGGGGGCGGGGGGGGGGGGTTTTCCCAAATGCTCCGGCCCCCTGGGCTCCCCCCCCCCCCGGGGGGGCCCGGGCCCCCCCCCCCCCCCCGGAACTACACCTCGTCTCCTGAGTACAGAGATCAGTCCTCCTGGAGTACATGGATGCTAGAGGGACCGTTTCAGCATCCCCGGGGGAACTCCCAGGTATGGGGGGGGGGGGGGTGTCACCTGGGAGTCTCTCCCCCCCACACACACACCCCTCCCTGTGTTTGACATTTTGATGACTGGGGTGGGGGGGGGCACAGCAACACCATTCCGTACCCTACGGGGCTAAGGTCAGGGGGCAGCCCCTTGCTGTGCCCAAACCCTGGGGGCTGAATCTCATGCGGCTGCCTGCTCTCCCTCCAGGAACCGCAGCGTGGCTCTCTCAGCCCCAAAGCTCAGAGGATTCTGCCCCCGTGGGGAGGAGAGGAGGAAGTCCACCCAAAGAATCATGGAGCTAGCGGGAAGGGGCCGCAGGGGCCATCTACTCTGACCTCCGGCTCCCCGCAAGTGTTTGTCCAGCTGCTGCTGCTTGAAGGCCGCCCGCCCCTGAGGAAGTGGCAGTGGGCTGTGCCCGGAGTCCCCTGCTGCCCCCTTGGGTGGGCGAGGGGCTGGTGCCAGGCGCCAAGGCCGACCTGGCGGTTTCTTGTGGTCATGAGGCACAGCCTGTGGCAGGGCGGGTGGGTTGGGGAGAGGCTCCCCCAAGGGAGGCAGGCAGGCAGGCAAACGAGCGCTTGCAAATTCACCCAGAGGATAAACAGTCTGGTGAGCCAGCGCGTCTGTTTCCCTGTCTGGGGGTGGGGGGTAGACAGGCACCCCCTCCCGTCCTCATTACTCTGCTTTGGGCCAGTCCCCCCCCCCCTGTGGGGCAGATGGCCAGACTGCTGTGCTAGTAGTGGCCGGGGGGCCGCTGAATGGGGGTGGGGTGGGGGGAGGAGAGAGTACCCCAGTGAGTTATCTCCCTGCCTCCGGTGATTCCTTTCAGAACGCCCCCCCTCCAAGGTGCCTTGTGTCATATGAGCAAGGAATATGGTACCAAGAGTGGAACTTGCGGATGTAATACCGGGAAATCCTCTGTATGTGTGTGTGTGTGTGTGTGTGTGTGAGTGGTTAGGGTAATTCTAAGTGGCCAAACGGCCGGCAGAGAAAGGGTCAGGTGAGCCTCCGGACTGGACTGCCCGGGTGGACTCCTCCGCCTCCAGCAGGGGGCTTTTTGCCCTGAAGCCGGGTGGGTGGGTGGGTGGGGGAGACGACACCCTTCCGGTTCACCCCACAAGGCGGGCCCAGCCTGGGAGCTGGGGGGGGGAGGGTGGTGGTGGAGAGCCCCCACCCAGTGCTCTGGCCAAAGGGGGCAGGGAGAGCCCGGTTCCTGCACACAGGTGGCTGGAAGGTCGGTCCACCAGGTGGGTCTTCTAAGAAGCAGAGAGCCGCCCAGGGGGGAACTTACGCTCAGACTGGGGACGGCGAATCTCGGGGTGGTCACAATTGGCAACCCAGGGCATGCCCCCCCCCCGCCATCCAGTGTGTGTGCCCCCCCCACACACACACACAGCAGGCTGCTCTGCCAGCCCCAAAAGCAAGGAGAGACCGACACAAGAGACCTACCGGACCGGCTGTGCTGAAGGAACAGCAGAAGCAGAAGGGCCTGGCCCCGCATCCTCCTCCTCCTCCTCCTCCTCCGAATCCTCTCTCTCTCTCTCTCTCTCTCTCTCTCTCTCTCTCGCTGCCCCGCAAGACAA